TTGATAATTAAAGAATTGTATATTATTACCCATATTCAAAATCATGCTGACAAATAACTTCAGAACATTACAAGTGTTGCTGTGGTGGGTTCCTAAATATCACTAGGGTCAATGGGTTGTTCACTTTTTGGTTGCAATTACTAAAAAACAATAAAAATGTAAATGATTCAGCCTGCACAAAGAAACCATGACTGATTTCATGAGTGACCAAACCAACCAACAACCCACAAGACTTGACACAGAAGTGCATTATAAATTCTGTATTGCAGATCTTGTCTTAAAAAAATGCAGTCCTCACATGGTATTTATTTAAACTCACTTTCATAAGGAGCTTTCATCCCCTATTTGGGAAAAGACAAGTTCAAAGCTTTGAAACATTTGAGCAAACTTCTCTTGTGTTTTACAAAAAGACCAATTTTTTTTATCATTCTATACCACAAATGAAAGTATATATACCACAAACAAAAGAAATAATGATCAAGGGTAGTGAATCCCCTTAATGACATTCAAAAGAGCAACTTTACATCAGAATCCTGAATGACAGTGCAGTACAAGGGCAGTCCATTAGCCACAGTACTGGTACAATGAGTCCTTGTCACCCAGACGAGTGAGAAAGAAAAGAAAAAGAGGAATGAGAATGACACGACATGTAGTTATGATCTTCAAAAACTTTTCCTCATCTACTCTTAACTAGCAAAGAAGATATGCATCACCGATATTATGTTTAAGCCTCATTCCAAGAAACTGGCTATCAAGACACCTAAGGAATGTCCACCACAGCAGTGTGGTGGGACCGACACTCTGCGGGGGAAACAAGCCGTGAAAAAAGTCTTCCTTGTACTGAAATTACAACTGTTCATTGACATCAAAGCTTTACTTACACTTAATAAAGACTATATCAACTTACTCTTAAACATGAGAGATCACACAGGCTTCCTGGGACCAAGAGAAGCTGCTGGCTTTCAAATATAGCCGGCAACTTGAGATGTTTGGGGTTCACAGCATTTTCCAAAACACAAAAATTTTGATTTCTATCATACTAATTCTCTCCTATCTACACTTTGTTTCAAACAAACCAAATCTGTAAGGCCATTGACTAGATGTAAGCAAATAAAATCAGAAAACAGAAGATTTAAGAAACAATTTTCAACAAAAAAAATCATGATAGCAAGATCAACCTATGGTACATGAGACATAAAAAATATAGAGATGTTATGAATCTATCTATGGACAACTCTGAAAATCAACCTATATCTCTTGCTACGCCTGTCTAGTTGACTTCTAGTATCTTGTCTCTAGAAATGACTCCCACTGAGAAGGTGCATGTAAATTTTAATGTTTCATCTGTATAAAAGGTGTGACAATGATATATCATTTACAGTTTCCTACATAAAAAATAATGCTTCTGCTCATCCAAACTACTGTTGCTATTAAACCTATTTCCTGTTAAGCAAAGTCAACAAAAACTACACCGATCACTGAAATTACACACCAAAGACCGTGTCAGTTCACATACAATATATATACACACACTACTTTAATTGTGCAAAAATATCATTACAAATTTTTGTATTTTTTCTTTTTTTATATTTTTTTCTTTTTTTTTCAGTCTAAGCACCTAAAACCTGATGCTTTTTGTTAGCATGCTGACAACAATGGATTCCAAATCATGGCCATTATTATTTTTTCATCTTACAAAGTTAAAAAAAAGACAAAAGAAAAGAGAAAGAAAATAAAGCAAATAGACTGTCAAGGTGCACACTAAACTAAGCTTTGGTGTGACACAACATGGAGTGCAATGAGATACAGATAAAGCTAGCAGGTTCAAAGAGGAGAATATGTTTGTGAAATCCATTGAAGTTTCAGCCCGAGGTGAATACATAAAGGTTGTAGGTAGGACTTGGTACCCACACACAAGCAAGGGTTCCTCTACTGAGGTTGCTGCCATGTTATTTTCTTTATTAATAAACATTATTCAACATCCACCACAAGATAACATTTTATAATCATCAGAGCTAAAAATGATAAGAGAGAGAAAAAGGATGAGGAGAAACATATGGAAAAGTAGGGAAGAGAAGGAGGTGGAGTGAGAAAAAAAGGAGGAAGAGGAGAAGGAAGAATGGGAGGAGAAAGTCAGAGAGGAACAAGTTCTTTAGCAGAAGTAATAGTATAAGTAATACTGGAATCAGAATTAGAGGTAGTAATTGCATAAACAGTAGGAGGTGACTGAGGTAGTGAAGAATGAAAGTAGGAAAGAAAGAAGGATGAAGGGAAAGGAGGACGGAGGGAGAGGCAGGGAAGAGAAGGAGGAGAAGGAAATAGGAGGGGAGAGGAGGAAGAATGGGGAAGAGAGGAGGAGAGGAAGAGAAAGAGAAGAGGAGAGAAAAGAAGAGGAGGAGGGAGAGGGAGGAGGAGAAGGAGGGGGCAGAGGTGGAGGAGGAGAAGGAGGAAGTGGAAGAAGACAAAAGGAGGAGGAGAGAAAGAGTGCATGAGGTCTTGCGGCAGAACTTGTTTTCACCACGCTATAAACCCTGCCGCAAAAGCCTACGCCAGAGAACAGGGCAGAGTCTCTCCACACACCTTACTCTGAGGCTGGATGTATCCCAGAACATGGGAAAAAAAGATAAAGACACTTCTCCCTACCATGCCTGGGAATTCAAGATGTGAACATTGCCCTTTTTTATTTCGTTCACCTACTGATAAACTATCACAGTATTAGCATTACTCTAGCTAAAATATGCCATCTCAGTATCAAGCTTTTTTTTATTTATTTATCTTTTTCTGCACATATGAAATTTACTATATATATATCTATTATATATATATGAATTTGGTATTTACAAAATAAAAAATATCCAAGCATCTTTGCAAAGCATTTCAAAAATTACAAATGTGCTTAAAATAGATATGATGATATTGCTTCAAAGTGAAGATGATGATGATGAAGAAGCTTTAGCATGTTGAGAAGACCATGCTGAAATTTGAGCCATACAAGAATTATTATGCAAATGTTCGATAAGAATTCAATAAACACAGCACCTCAAGTACATGAGAGGCAGGAGGGCAGCACATCAGTGGGCTGAGGAAGGAATAAGGGTGTGTTTCAAAAAGAAATCCTCATTTTGACAAAACAGCACATCCCAAAATTTTGCTATTTTGATGCAAGAAGTCTCTTCCTTTTTTATCATATTTCATGCAAAGTGTAAATACTACTTCTGTCTGAGGTTATATCCTTACCTCAAATTAGACCTGTAGAGAATGTTTAAATATGTTTTTCTTTTATCTTAATCCAGACAGTAGAAGAAAAGGGATATTCCTTAACAGAATGAACAAGTTCTATTGAAAATTGGTCAATCAACTAAATCTATCATTGCTATTGCTATACCAGCTATTCACAACTTTAACTAATGACGACAATAAACAAAGCACAATACCCAACTAGCATACAGAATGCACTGTCCTCTAACAGCATTAGACCATCCACACACTCAGTGAGCAGCTGTGGAAATGACATCACAATGAGGCAAAACCACAAGAAAACCACTGTCAAACCATTGAAATGCTGTAGTTGAAACCATGCTTACTGTGGACAATAGAGCAAGTATGCCTGGCTGATTTTGCCTGGTAATGGGCACTGTTCAATCTCATTGCCCTGCTAAAGAAGCAATGGGATATGTCAGTGGAAAGTGCCCGATCGTGTCGACAGAGCACTGATCAGCAATCCCATTGTTATTTTCCTCAGAAGAAAAACTAGACTCTAGAGAGCCTGTAGAGCCAAAACAAAGACTAAAAACTATCCCCAGCCCATGAGTATTAATAGCCAAGATATACAAGCTCTGTTACACACATGTTGGATTCCTTAGAAGTCTTTGAGTAGTATGGGGACAGCATTCAGTGATAAATTTATGTATAATTTGCCACATCACCACTCAAGGTACGGCCAGTGGCAATTTCCTGGGATAATGTGATGAAATCTACGTTTTTCTGTGTTTTTACCTGAATAGCAAGTTAAGCTGGAGTAGTTCCATTTAAGTAGAATACATAAGCAAAACAAAAAAGAAAGAAGATGAAAAAATAAAATCAATCATGCTGAGGTACCAGAAGACCTTGTTGGCTCAAAATCTTACATTAGCATTTTCTTGCCAATATCTCTTTTGGTGTAATGTAATGACCTTAAGATAATGTATACAACATTCTGTATCAAAACTGTTTTGAGCTTTTGAATTGTGCAAAGAGAACTTTTACTGGATAAACCAATAACGGATGATGAAGATAACTTTTACATATTGTAAGTACAATTTCCATTTGAATGTAAACAAAACTTTTTTTCCATCTAACATGATGTTGAGTGGTAACAAATACTAGTCATGTTACAATAATTCTACTTTATAAAAAATATACCTATTTATCATATATTCTTAAACTGAAAAAAATTACATATGATCCTTTTTTTTAAAGAAACTACTGACAGTTGTCACACTCAATTTGACACATTGCGAAAACATGTAAATCAGCTGTGTGAAATTTTAGAATCACATTTGCTGCTGACTTATTCCAAGGCATTCCATGACCTTCAACCTATGTAGGTCGATGGTCATGGAGAAAATTTGACACACATCACCTATATCACTTCCAATGGATATCATAATTTATCAAAATTTGTTTCCTTATCATATCCATCATTCTTAAATCACTTAAATCCATGTTTGCCTTCAAACTTTTAAAACCCACAGAATTCCCGAATCATAATAACATGTTAATAAGTCTAATGATTAAATATCCTATTCAGTCCTGAATGAGAATCAAAATCTACCAAAGGGAAACTGAATTTCAGAACCTAATATACAGCAAAAATAATAACTCTTAGTAATATAACTATAGTCCCAAAAAAATAGAAGTAAAAGTAAAAAAGTGCCAATTCATAGCTGCACAGCCTATATAACTGAAAACTAAGGACATGTAACCAATCTATGGAAAAAAGGTAAAATAAAAACCCTGTATATAAAGATATAATTGATCAATTCTGTAAGACTGGATGAATACATAGTCATTTTTAAATTTCTTTGATTTTTTTGTGTGGTTATTTATGTATTAGCTCATTAGTAAACACAGTTGCATACTATGTATACAGCAAAATACATAATTATGCATATGGGTTTCCTAGAGTATACATTTTTGTACACGGGTTTAAATAAGCATCTATTTTAAAATACAAAAAGAGTGATACACCCATAGAAAAAACATATACTATATATAACAATATTCTAACATCTCACCAGCTGCATTTAACATGCTTCCAATGATGAATGGAGTGTATTCAATATCAACATTTAAAAAAAATCTTTACAAATAATGACAATCACTGGGTTTCATTATACAAAAGAAACACTTCTATTTAAGTTTTACTGCTGCCTTCCATAACCACATCTTGGTTAACAGTATAATTTCAGAACAGCTCTTTGATTTTAATTGCTTGTAACTGCAAAAAAGAAAAGAAAAGAAAAGAGAAAAAAAAAAAATCTGAATGTTTAGTGTGCTTAGGTTAACCATTACCAAAATCACCATTTTGTGATGTTTATATATGAGATATCTCTATACCTAGATGCACAGTGAGGCAGGGGAATGCACCTCACAAAATATTGTAGACTACCACCTGTTGTGACTATAATTTCCATACGAAACTTAACTCTAACAGCTTGCACTGCCATCTATGAAATAAGAAAATAAGAGGCATTGAAAAATAATTTGGTAACATTAGGTCATCCTGAGAAAAAAATGTTACTATTTTATTTTGTGTATGAATTAATCTTGTTAAAGCAATGGTCCACATGTACGAATCCCTATAAACAATAAAGCAAAATTTCATATATATATACTGTATATATAAACTCAAAACTGTTATTTTGTTAATAACTAAAGATCTATGCTTCCAAATGTCTGGATTAGTGATGTTAATTCAAGGCGAATTATCAGCAAACATTCTGCACAGTTCATTTTGAGAGATGCATTATTCAAATAAAAATATGAACAGATTTCTAAAAAAATATTAATAAGACTTGCCATCTGTTTCAACATACAACAGACACGTACTCTTTCTTTTCTTATTCTACTTCCACTGTTTGCTAGATTCCAATGAAGAAAAGCAAATCATAGTATACACAGAGATATCAAAAAGCTAAGACAACAATAATAAGAATAGCAATTACAAAAAAAAAGAAAAAGAAAAAGAAAATATCCTAAGAACTCCTTCTACAATTTCACTCGAGACTTGATTCGCGGACTATCACAATTATATACTATGTATGGACATCATAGATGATAACGTGCTTTGTTCTCTTTCTGTTTCTCGTGTCTGTGTTTTTATTTCAGCAATTTTTTCTAATCAACCACCTTTTTCTTCAAGTGAGCCTTGCTTGAACAGTGAGACACATCTAGCACGTTTTCTTAGTATTTTTTCTGTTAAACTGCAAAATCCTTTCACACCTACAAAAAGTAAAAAACCCTTATCTTAATATATTCTACATTCTGACGGTGCCTAAAGTAGTAAAATATCTAATCTCTTACAAAAGTTTGAATTCATTATATTCAATTTTTTTTTTTTTGTTCACTGACAAGCTTTGGCTTAATTCATTAATATTTATAAGGATGACATTTCCTTTTTTTGAATATCATTTTTGCTATTTTCTTTTCCATTTTTTTTTTCTGCTTTTCTCTATCGTTCTTCCCCTCTCCTCCTCTCCAACTTGGTGTGTAAGTTATAAAATGAATTTCCGCACTATCCAGGCATCACTTGTAGAATCCTTTTTCCATTAAAAGACTTGTTTTCTCTATTTCTATTTTGTGCTACATCCCTTTCTTTCTTTCTGTATTTTCCTCTAAACATATATAATTTATATCTCTTTCCTATATATATTTCTTTCTATATTTGTGCCATGTTCCATCGTTCGACACTCTCTTCGAACGAAAATCTAAACCACCAATCTCTCTTTTTTTCCCAGCCGCCTCCGCCTCCCTTCCTCCTCTCTGACTTCACTCTCTCTTCTGTGCCCACTTGAAGTCGTCTGCTCGGGGCTTGCAGCCGGTGACCTTCTCAATCAAATATTCTAACGAGATCCAGAACTTGAGCTTCTCTAAGGGGTAGTTGAGCCATCCGGTCGTTATGCAGAAGTAGGTCTCATGTGGTGCGACATGGTGGATACGATGATGCCTCTTTGGCAGGATGATGTGCAGGTCCTGCAAGAGATTGTGTTGTCTTAGCGCACTTTGGCTATGAGGCACTGCTGAAGGAACTGCAAACTATAGTAATATACATGTAACATATTGTTTCTCAGTGGTGAAGTTGTGTACTTATACCAAAAAGGGGCATCTAATTAGTCAATTTTTTTTCTTTTCTTTTATCAGTACACATAACAGATGAAATAATTATATAGAAAAAGTGCTCTACTGAAACATTACAAAGAATTTAGCTTTATCTTTATTCGTCTTTATCTTAAAGAAACAAAATAAAAGTCCAAGATTTGTTCTAACCTATACTGCAGTTAATATATATATATACCTACGACCCCAAAAGACCTATTTCTCACAATTGTAGTATCATCAATTATGGGACTGTATTCTCATATCTTTTTTGCTTTTAACAAACCATATGATGAAGAGAGCGAGAGAGAGTTAGAGAAAAATATACCATACTAATACAAATGTATCATGCTAGCCATCAGACCATTGCTGAGTTTTCCACATGTTCGCCATGGCGGCTTGTACTGTGTAGAGACACCTGTGGCATGCTTCTAAATATATGCCCCAGCCTGCCCTGGCCAGTCACTACTCATTCAGACTCAGACTCACATCTCTCCAAGAGCACCCGCCTTGTCCAATGATACGCCAACGCTCAACCACAGCAGGCTGGCTGCGTTTCTAACTGCACTGATCCATTTGATATCTATTTCTACTACTGTGTTTATCTTACAAGATTAAGGCGTGAATCTATTACACTTTATTTTTTTCTCTTTCCTTTTTT